GAAATAAGCAGGGTAAGTGATTGATCACCATTTTACAGATGAGAAAACTGAGGCTGAAAGAGATTGAGTGAGAAAGCTAGAGAGAGAATATTTATTAAGTACTTACGGGCACTATGCTAGCACTAAAAACACATATAAACAAACAAGACAGTCCCTACCCTTATGTTCTAGTGATGGAGGAAAATATGTAAAGGGGAGGTCTAAAGGGGGTGGCAGGAAGGATCTTTGGGGCAAAGGTAGTTGGCGAGGGGGTAGAACAGAAAGTGTTGGAACACATTGATCCTAGAGTGAAGAGAGTATGTCTGAGTCTTCTGCTGAAATAGTGGTCCAATTGAGGGAGTCATTGATGAGTCAGGAGAGCAGACTTAGGATAGATCTTTTTTTTCTGAGCAAAAAGGGGGTTGATGTGGAGATAGAGAAGTATTGAAAATTCCATAACTGGTAGTTGGTGATATTAAGAATAGAGCCTCTAGTCAGGTTTTCTAACTCCTGAATAGAGCTGTAACTAGAATGGATGACGAAGACAAAGAGCTTAGGATGCCAAAGTCTGGAGGGTACATGCTTCCTCTCCTACAGCAAGTCAAGAGGCACTTTCTCCTGGCTGCAGCTGATATTCCTGCCTCTCACTTCATGTTTCTGTTCCAGCCATCACAGCTGTATAGGACAAAGAACCTGGGATTCCACTTCTAGGTTCTTGTTAGTGTGGTATTCTTGTCCTGTGGCCTGCTTTTCTTTCCAACCTCTGAAGGAAACATAGGGCCAAACTTTCAGGGAGCAGGCTGCCCATTCTAACAGTACATCTGCACATAAGCATGAACTACTATCAGTCCTTAGTCCTTAGGTGATATGTATGCTTGGACACTCCTTCCTACAAAGCCAGAAGAGCTTTGTTTATGGACCCTGTGAGAGACTGTGACTTTCATCTGAGGCTCTGCTTAGATAAATTTAGCAAAGTTCATCCTTCAAAGGCTGGACATCGGCTAATAATTATTTTGGACATAATTACTCAAGAAATAGTCCACTAAATCACAGAAATGTTATGATTTGTGAGGGAAAAGTCATACCCACACTGATGGATTAAAGGAACATTTCAAAGTAATGAAATACATATTTATCCACATGAGAGGCAGGGAGCTGGCCTCCCAATCAAAAAGAACGGGGTCTACTCCTGCCTCTGATACATACTGGCTGCATGACCTTGGGCAAATCACTAATCTCTCAGAGCCCCAGCTGTCAAAGACTCTAAATTGGTGAGTAAGTTCACATTTGCTTTGGTGAAGGGAGTTTCCTCACTAGGAATTGCCTTTGTTAATGAAAGCACAGCTCTAGAATAAAACAAATATGTTCACCTAATTGGAGAGGAAGAGAGACAGAGAGGAAGAAACAGTACTACTTTCTGGACCGAATCAACTGTATTTTTATCTCTAGTAAAAAATCCTCAGGAATTTCTTCACTGAAAATTGCATTATTTTCCCATATAGTGTAGTGCACAATCACTATGATTGATATATTATATAGGTATATGATGTATATAATATACAAATAGATATGAAATAGAGCTACTTCACATATATGCACTGCAATACAAGCATGTATATATACGCATGTGTATACATACATGCATTTGCATATATACACATGTGTGCATCTATATCTATCTATCTATCTATCTATCTATCTATCTATCTATCTATCTATCTATCTGTCTGTCTGTGAAGTAGTTACCTGCTTCATGCTGAATTGTTCCTTGGCAATATCTTTACAACAGTAGTGATCTCCCAGAGTGCTTTTAGAGAGAATTTTTATAGCCTGTCACACCAGGCTATATCATTGTTCAAATACTGGGTAGCAATGAATGCTAGTTAGTTGAAGAGGAGAGTGTGAAGACTGCAGGTAAAAGGGCATCCCCTATCCCCTTATTTCAGTAGTAGGAGCCATTTAAAATTGGATAGCTCCTCCTTTTAGGGGCAGTGAGGTGGCACAGTGGAAAGAGTGCTGGGCCTGGAATCAGGAAGATTCATCTTCATGAGTGAATTCAAATCCAGCCTCTGACACTTACTAGATGTATGACCCTGGGCAAGACACTTAACTCTGCTTGTTTCCTCATCTGATGAGCTGAAGAAAGACATGGCACCAGTACCTCTGTGAAGAAAACTACAAATGGGGTCATGAAGAGTCAGACACAGCTAAAAATGACTGAACAACAACTCCTCCTTTTAGTTCTTTATCCCTTCATTTGTATTGAGAGGAAATAAAATGACCAGTCTTTTTATGTGACTCTGGGGAGGGAGTGGTCGTTAGAGCTTCCTTGCCATTTAGCACTCTGGGTGGCCTGAGCTGAGAGACAGGGACATCTCCTCAGGGAGTAACTCTCCCACAATGGCAAGTAGCAAGCCCAGATGAGTCAGTCAGGAAAAAGAAGTGGTGGGGCATGATCCTGTAAATTCCAATGTGCTTAACATGGGAAGGCTCTTCACTCAAAGCCCAGGCTGGGGCCTGTTGGGATCATTCTACTGACAGAGGTCAGATGTCCTTGGCACCGATTTCTTCCCCTTGCTCAGTGTTTGTTTTATTTCCTTTTTCCAGGTGACTGGGGAAGGGAGAAAATCTCCCTTAAGGATAGATTGAATTAAAGCTTAGGGACATTTTGTTTTAAGAGAATTCTGCCTCTATGTCCTCACTTAATCTGTATTATCAAAATTGTTGTTTTCCTCATTGAGGTTGGAGAATTCTATGTCCCACTCCTGAGTAAGCTAGAAAAAAAATTTTTTTAGTCAATGCCTCACACATAAAGTATTATTCTCATTGAAGATAAGTTGTGTATTGGGAAACATCAATCCTCCCTACCTCTAACCAAGGCACTCTCCTGATATAGTGGAGATATTTTCCCACTCCACTATGGAAAATAGATGACTTCTGTGGCCAAACAATTCAGTACTCTAATGATGAATCTCTTCATACTTAAGCAAACTTGTCCTTTGGTGGCAGACACATCGTCCATCCACAGAGCTATTACAAGATTTTCTTCCTAGCTTGATAGTACCTATCAAATTGTATGTGCAACTGGTATTGTCTTTGATATCCCATGATAACTAATATTACTATGGAGCAGGACTTCCATTTCAATATGTCTCCTTAAACATAAACATTTTTAAGTTGACTTTATTTTTTTACCTGGTACTAACCAATCTTCTCTGTGGTACATTGAATGTCTCAGATACCAGCCTCTTTTGTAAATTTTGATTAGTTTTACGATTTAGTTCCGCTAAGGAGACAGTGTTTAATCTACATTAACAATTCAATTGGTCAAGTCAAGGTACAACCCCTTTCTTCCCAAAACAAAGACAGGACAACCCTATACACAAGCAGTTATCTAAACCTTGGGAAGAGTGAAAATTCACAATAATGAGTTATAAGTGATGAGGAAAGAAAAAGGTCATCTATATAGCTTCTAAATAGTATATTATTTAAAAGGCAGAGAGAATTACTTGTGTAGTACAGGTTATATGGGAAGAGGATGGGGGTGTGCTATAGAGGAAAAGAAGGATTCGCTGCAAAGAGGTGGCCCAATAGACATCATAAGTGCCTGCAGGGAAGTGGGAGGGTGGGTGGGGATGCTGATGTATTATTTTAGGACTGCATGTATAGTCCATACCTCTGTGTGGGTTCTTGTGAATACTTTTTTCACTTTTTGCATTCTCTTTGGGGTGAAATAAAGGCTAACCCATACTCAATATGCTTTTAACACCCTCAATACCTATACAGGAGCTAGGGACCCTGTTTCCTTACATTTGGAAAAAACTTGTGCCAAAGTACATTTATTAGAAGATTTTTCTGGAGTAACTTTAGATGGGGATAATGAGTCAAAAAGAGTCACCCTCTTCTCGACTCAGGCACTAGGTCTATACCTGGTCCACATGAGCCCAAGATCTCAGTGAGGGGGCCATAGGCCGTGGGATTCACATACGAATAACATCATCATAGAGGGAAATGAGTGTGGGGGGTATGCTAAAGGAAGAGTTTGATTTTTCCTTACTGCTGTTTCAGAAATCATTGTGCATGTTATTATATCAAGCCACACAATATACGTCAAAAATATTTTCTAACTCCATCTGTAAGGGACAGAGTAGTACAATAGAAAGGACTGTGGACTGGGAGTTAAAAGACATGGGATCTAATCCAAACTCTGTCATTATTCAGTTATGTGGCCTTGGGCAAGTCATGTATGTTCTCTAAGAGTAGAGTAGATTATCCCTAAATCCCTTCCAGCTCTGAAGTCTATTATTCTACATGTTAATCTGATATATTATTCATGGCAGCTTAGATCCAGAAATAAGGTTTTCATGAAAAAACCCACAAAACATCTTTATGTTTCACTCTCATTTCTATTTAGAAATCTAAACTACATGAAGGAGGAAAAAAACCACTTAATTACTTTTGATTATTTTCAGTTTTGTTGGCTGTTTCCTCATGTATAAACCAGTAACTATGCACTAAAATCCTCTGATATGTTACATGTGCATCAAAGCTACATGGTCCATCCACTTTTAGGTCACTCCTCAACCTGACTCTTGACTTGTTCTCATATTTAATTTCATCATTTCTTTGGTAATTAGTAATATTCCATCATTTTCTCAATTAATGAAATAAGCTTAGAGCTCCACCCCAGTACATGGAGTATTTTTTACTTAATGAGCTAGGGAAACTGTTTCCATATGTAATTACTAATTTCTCACAATATTAAAACTTATAATCTTCTAGCATTAAATAAATATGAAAATTATTGAATTTACAGTATGTTAATAATAAAAGAAATGATAAAAGAAAAATCAGACAAAGAAAAATCAGAAAAAGAAGATATAGATAGCTATTTATATTATTTTTCCTGTGAAAAAGATCACAGCTACGGTAGCCTCTAGCCACCAAGCAATATAACTACAAATGACACCATTACATTCAATTAAAATAACAAATAAAATCTGAAAACCCTCCTCATATACCTTGCAAGACAATGACTACAATAGTTTCATAAAGAAAGATCCCTTGATCATCTTGTCTTCCTCTAATCTTCACTCTGTTTTCTCCATCTTGTCCCTAGAATGACAGGAAAACGTCTTTAGCCTCTCTTGAGCCATGACTTCTAATAGTCTCTTTCTAGAAGTACTTCTCACAAAATTCTCTTTATCATGTTTTTCCCCCATAAAATAACATTTAAAATTTATCCCAAGAAGAGTTTTTCTCTTTCCCCTGGTCTTTTCTTTAGCTTTTCTCAAAACAGCTCCATTAACTCTCTCTCTTCTCAGTTTCTCTCTAAACTGTCCAACCTAGTTGCCAAATGCTAAACATACCATTTGATTCTTAAAGTTATAGAAACAGAAACTATAGCCTCTTTATGAGAGGCATTTGAAATAGGTGTTGCATTTCTCCCATCAGGCAAACACTTTCGGTTTCCTGAAAATCATTTCCAGGGACATCAAAGCTACCTTAGTGTTCTATAAATCTTAAAATATGTAATTTGCATTCACAGTGCAAAGCATCACTTGATTTTGTTCTGTCATTTTAAGTCATATCCAACTCTTTGTGACCTCATTTAGGGTTTTCTTGGCAAAGATACTAGAGTGGTTTACCATTCCCCTCCCCAGGCATCATTTGACAGACAGCTTTAAATAAGAAGGAAAAAAACAGCAATATTGAGAATACATCAAAAAGTATGAAACAATATATAATTCAATGAGGAAATATATTACGCTACAAAAATAACCATATCTCAAGTAACACAATACCTTATTCTGTTTATAAGTACAGATATCTCTAATGGCTTATTGAATGTTATAAGTCTGTATCCAAGATGGTTAATGTAGTAGATTCACTACCAGTATTTTAAGACTCTATGGCTTGGATTTTGTTTTTTTTATTTTGTCTTTTACCCTATAAGACTCTATAGGTGAGGTTCTGGACAAGAAAGGTTTTTCCCTCTGGGTTTGGCCCTCTTTTCATTCTTCATATGAATTGGAGTCTGTGTCAATCCTGGGCAAATTTATTACATACATACATACATACATACATACATACATATATATATGTATGTATGTATGTATGTATGTATGTATATATATGTATGTATACCAGATATGCTTTACTTAAACCAAGACTTTTGTCAGGAGCTCTTCAGGCTGACTAGGAAACAAGCCATGAGTCAATGTTCTTGAACTGCTGTTTCAAAGTACTGTTTTCTCTTTTGATATTTTAATAGATCTTTTGTATCAAGGCAATAGCTTGTTTTATTAGTAGCCTTGGGCCTCTGCTTTACTTTACAATTTCCTCTTTATTTACAATATTTTGTGTTTAATTTTTTTCTATTTGGTTATCAAATGTATCCAATGTTCTTTGAATATCAAAGTTTCTCTCCCCACATCTCCTCCCCAATCCTTGCACAAATCTCTTTCATCTTGCTTCAATTTTTGATAACATACTTGGGCTCATACTCCTTTGTTTCATGAAGCTGGTTCCTTGGGCATCATCTTTCTTCAAACCAAGGGATAGTTCTCTTTAAGTGCACTTGACATATTTGTGACCATGCAGTCCACAGTTGTAACTGTTTTTATACATTAATGTCATACCAAATTCTCATCTACTCAAGGAATTTATATTCAAATGGGGGAAGATAACAGATAAAAGAGAACTGAAAATTTGATGGGACAAGAAGGGGCAACATGGAAAAATTCATCAGGAGAGTAAGGAGCTGTACCAGGTTAGAATTAGCAAGGCTGTATACCAATAAAACTGACAACCTAAGTGAAATGGATGAATATTTACAAAATTATAAATTACCCAGATTAACAGAAGAGGAAATAGAATATAGTACTTAAATAATCTAATCTTAGAAAAAGAAATTGAACAAACCCTAGATAAACTATCTAAGAAAAAATCCCCAGGACCAAATGGATTCACAAGTGAATTAAAGAATAATTAATTCTTATACTATATAAACTATTTGAAATGTTGGTAAAGAAGGAGTCCTACAAAATTCTTTCTATAATACAATATGGTTTTGAAACCTAGATGAGAGAAAGCAAAACAGAGAAAAAAACTACAGGCCAATTTTCTAATGAATATTGATGCATAAATTCTAAATAAAATGCTAGCTAGAAGATTACAGAAATATTTAACAAATCCTACACTGTAACCAGGTGGGATTTATACCAGGAAAGTAGAGCTAATTCAATATTAGGAAAACTATGAGCATAATCAACCAACTCAATAAAAAAAATAACAAAAATCATATGATTTTTATCCAATAGATACAGAGAAAGCTTTTGACAAAATACAATGTTTATGCATATTAAAAGCATTAGAAAATACGGGAATAAATGTAGCTTTTCTTAAAATGACACATAGTCTCTATCTAAAACCAAGATCAAACATTATCTGTAATGGGGATAAACTTGAAGCCTTCCCAATAAGATGAGAAATACAGCAAGGACATCCAGTATTATTGAATTTTGTATTCAATTATTCAATATTGTATTAGAAATGTTAGCTATAGCAATAAGGTAAGGAAGAGATATTGAAGCAATAAAAATAGTCAATGAGAAAACAAAACTATCAATCTTTGCAGATGACATGATATTATACTTAGAGAACCTTAGAGAATCAACTGAAAAACTAGCTGAAATAACTTCAGCAAAGTTGCAAGATATAAAATAAACCCACATAAATCATCAACACTTCTATATAGTACCAGCAAAACTCAGCAGGAAGAGATAGAAAGAGAAATTATATTTAAAATAACTGTTGACAACATAAAATAATTGGGAGTCAATCTGCCAAGACAAATCTAGCAACTATATGAACACAATTACAAAACACTTTTCATGCAAATAAAAACAGATCTAAGCAATTAGAGAAATATTAATTGCTTATGGGTAGGCTGAGCCAAAATAATAAAAATGACAATTCTAATTAAACCATTTTACTTATTCAGTGCCATATAAATCAAACTACCAAAGAATTATTTTATAAATCTAGGAAAAAAATCATCTAGAAGAACAAACAGTCAAGAATATCTACAGAATCAATGAAACAAATGTGAAGGAAGAAAGTCTAGCAGTACTAGATTTTGAACTATGTTACAAAGTGGTAATCATGAAAGCACCGATTTGGTAATGGCTAAGAAGTAGAGTGGTGGTTCAGTGGAAAAGATGAGGTACACAATACACAGTAGTCAATGATCATAATAATCTAGTGTTTGATAAACCCAAAGATCCAAGTTTTGGGGACAATAACTCATTTTTTTAAAAAAATTGATGGGAAAACTGAAAAGCAGTTTGGCAAAAACTAATCATTGACTAATATCTCACATCGTATACTAAGAAAAGCTTAAGATGGGTACATGATTTAGATAAAGAATGATATAAGAAAATTAGGGGAGCATGGAAAAATGTACATATCAGTTCTATGGATAAAGGAAGGTTATGACCAAATAAGAGATAGGGAAGATTATGGGAAGTAAAATATATAATTTTGATTACATGACATTGAAAGGTTTCTGCACAAACAAAACTAATGCAGATACAATTACAAGGTAAGCTGGAAACCAGGGGGGAAATTAGGACAAATTTTTCTGATAAAGGACACATTTCTCCAATATATATGGAACTAAGTCAAATTTATAAGAATAGGAACCATTCCCCAATTGACAAATGGTCAAGGATATGAAAAAGTAGTTTTCAGAAGAAATCAAAGGTGTGTATAGTCCTATAAAAATGCTCTATATCACTAGTGATTAAAGAAATGCAAATTAAAACAACTCTCAGGTACCACCTCACACTTATCAGATTTGCTAACATAATAGGAAAGGAAAATGACAAACGCTGGAAGGCTTGCAGAAATGTAGGTACATCAATGCACTTTTAGTGGAGTTGTGAATTAGTCCCACCATTCTAGAGAACAATTTGGAGCTATGCCCAAGGGGTTACAAAACTATGAATACCCTTTGTCCCAGCAATCCTATTTCTCCGTCTGTAACCCAAAGATACCAAAGAAAAAGGAAAAGGACCTATGTGTACAAAAATGTTTATAGCAGCCCTTTTTGTAGTGACAGAGATTGGAAATTGAGGGGATATATTGTGGTATATGATTGTGATGAAATACTATTGAGCTATTAAAAATTATTTTAGAAACACCTGGGAAGTATTATATGAATTGATGTAAAGTGAAATGAGCAGAATCAGAAGGCCATTTCACACTGTAACAGCAGTATCATAACAATGATCAACTATGAAAGACTTCGTTACTCTGATCAAGACAATGTTTCAAGATAATTCTGAAGAACTCAGGATGAAAAATGCTATATTTCTCCAGAGATAGAAATGAACTCTGAGTGCAAAGTGAGGAACAGTTTTTTCACTTTCTTTATTTTTCTTGGTTTTTTTTTTTTGGCAACATGGCTAATAAGGCTTTTTTTATGACTTCAAATATATAATTGCTATATTATTGCTTATTTTCTCAATGGGTAAGTGAAGAGATGGAGGGAAGAAGAGATTTGAAATTCAAAATTTTAAAAATGTGAAAATTAAATAATAAATAAATGAAAAACAAATGAATAAAAGAAGTGAACAATGCTCCCAAGGTAGGGATTATCCTGTTTTGTCTTTGTGTCCCTAGTGTGGGAAGGGCGGATAAAGAGCTGGCCTTAGAGTCCAGAACACTTGGATTCAAGTCTTGTCTCTGACCCATACTAGCTGTGTGACCCTGCCTTAACCTCTCAGTGTTCTAGGCCAGTGGTGTGAAACTCAAATAGCAATGAGGTACCCTAATTGGTGTACAAGGATCCCTGTGGACTGCCTATCAACTTAGTTTTAAGATATGATATTATCTACGTTTTATTGTGGGCAGTTAGGTGGTGTAGTGGATAGAATGCCAGGTCTAGAGTCGGGAAGATTCATCTTCCTGAGTTCAAATCCAGTCTCAGACACTTACTAGCTGTGTGATCCTGGGCAGGTCATTTAACCCTGTTTGCCTCAGTTTCCTCATCTGTCAAATGAGCTGGAGAAGGAAATGGCAATCCACTCCAGGATCTTTGTCAAGAAAACTTCAAATGGGGTCACAAAGAGTACAATACCATTGAAAATGGACGAAGAACAACAAAATGTTTTATTTCATTTCTTTTGATAAATGTTTCCCCATTCCATTTTAATCTTGCTTTGGCCGTACTTGAGAGTGCTACAGTGTGAGATCACATGTTTGACACCTCTGCTCTAGGCGACTGTCCAAGAAAGGTTGGAGAAGAAACTCCTTCACCCTAGAGTTCTCCTATACTAAAGAAATCATAGGTCCAACATGGACCCTGCCTCTCTCACTGTCCCCAGCACTTAACAGAATACCCAGCATATAAATAGGTGCTTAATTAATGCGACTGATTGATTTTTAAGGGC